TTTTTTATTTTTTAATATTTTTAATATTAATATATTATTTTTTATTTATTAAAATAAGACATTAATTTTTTTATATTTTTAAAAATGTTATTCTTAATTTGACTTTTGAAATTAAAATTAATATAAATATAAATGACAATATTTATGACTTACTTGTATTTCTCACTTTATTAAAATAAAACTTTTTGTTTTTTTTTTCTTTAAAAGAAGTAATTGCTATAAAATATAACAACTGTTTATATATTTGTTTCTTAAAAATAAACATAACTTCAACCTAATTGTACGATTCAATTAGTTTTGGAATTCTCCTTCAGAGGGCGGAATGACAAATAATATATACAGACAATGGAGAAAGCGGACGAATATTTATTCTTTCCTCTATTTAATTATATACTAGTTAATTTTAAAGGAATATTATTAATATTAATATGTATTTTAGATAAAATTTAAAAGCTCAATTACAATCGTGACGTAATGAAGTCTGGAGGTGAATTGGCGGGAATTTTGATGCACGTGTATAAAATTGTTTATTTACTGAAACTTGAGTGCTTCTATATTTAAAAATTTTTCTATATTAGAGAAAACGTTAGAGAAATATAAGTACAAGTCTAATATATTTTAGTGTAATATATAGTATATACTATAATATATGCTTATAAAATGTACATTATATATTATATATACTGTATACTGTATATGTTATAATATGCAATAATGTAATGTATTGTAAATATAAGAGTCTGCTTAATAATAATTCAAAATATGCTTAAATATTTTTTTTATTTTCAAGTTTTGCATTAAAATAAGGGTGTTTATATATTATTAAAACAATATAACAAAATAAAGAGATATGCTACTATAATATATTATAGTAACATTTTATACTTGGATTTATATGAATTAATAAGAATTTGAATTATCTTTAACTTTTAAATCAGGAGAAAAAATGTTTATAATTAAAATGATATTAAAAATATAATGATAAACATTTTCAAACTTGCTTTAGTATTGTTTTGAGAGTAAATAAATAAATAAGCCAAAGGGACCATCCATTAATTACATTTACAGTTTTTGAGTTACTTCTGACCCTTCTCTGTTGTGTATATCAATTGTACACAAAGAAGGGAGGGAGAAGCTTCCTTTAATTACTTGTACTGTACAATAGTTCATGAAACCTCCTGAATTGAAGAAATGATAAAAAATTTGTACATATATTTTCTAAATGATATTTTATTCACATGATTAGTAAATAGGTTTATAAGAACAAATTCATATTCCACTAATACCATTAAAAAATCCATGTAGGCACTATCTTAATCTTCTTTCCCATTGTGTACAATGATGTACTTTTTACAACTTCCTTTCCCTTAAAACTCTACATCTAATTAATGGATAACCCCAAATCAAAATTACTTTTACTCTAAAATTTTTAGTTATTGTATTGATTTAGCATTTTTACTATAAATTATTTTTAGTAAAAGTTTGGGTCTTCATTCTGTAAAAATTTTGGTATGCTTTGTTTATATTACTGATGAAGATGTGTTTTCTATAAATCTATCTTGAGATGATTTTTGATCCAGTGCAGCATAATAAATCACAACCATTAAGAATAAAGAAATAAATATATTTTTCTAATAGCATATTTTGCTAAAAATAACGATGAGTGAAATATAGTAAAAATCATCACAAGATAGATTTATAGAAAACACATCTTCAACAGTAATATAAACATAAAGCATACCATACCAATAAATAAAGATATATATTTGATATAATATATAAAAATATTATATCAAATATATATCTTTATTTATTTCACTGCCTGTTAACATTCATACTTAATTTGATTAAAATGCAGCAAGTGATATCATTAGCTGATAAGTAAAATTCATTTTATTATGAAATATATTTTTGAAAATTTATAATTTAATAATATAAAATATAAGAAAAAATTAGAAAACAAGAGAGAAAGAAAAGTTTAGTTAAGAAATCAGCTTAAAATGGAATAATTTATAACATAAACAAATTTTTTTTGATTCTGATGAAACCGTGTTGTTGTTATTAAGCTGTTTCTTTGCAGACACACTAAGGTGACATATATCAACACTTGGCAACTTATTGACTATTTATTCAGTTGGGACGCCTTTTACATTACGCGTTTCGGGCATTGGCCCCTCTTCAGCCAACTTGTATCTTTTCTTGATAATGAACTGTACACATGTTTTCCTTTTCTTTTGGTCGATAACTGCCGTTTCTATATTAACAATTTCGTTTGATTCTGATGAAACCGTGTTGTTGTTATTAAGCTGTTTCTTTGCAGACACACTAAGGTGACATATATCAACACTTGGCAACTTATTGACTATTTATTCAGTTGGGACGCCTTTTACATTACGCGTTTCGGGCATTGGCCCCTCTTCAGCCAACTAGACATAAAAAATAAAACATAAGAAAATTTGTACAAAAATACGCGAGTAGATAAACTGTTTTTTTAAAAAAATTTTTTAAAAACATACCATAAAACACAAACCACTATTGTACAGATGTCGAACAGGATGGACAATTTCATATTTCATATACAACTTGGATAACAAACAAGGTCGACGATAATCATTGGAGAACAAACAGGGTCGTAGATAGCAGCTTGACTACTGGGCTTTTAANCAACTTCTATTATATACAGAAATCGGTTCAAAAAATCAGCTCAAGTAAATATGTAAATTAGTTTGCCAAATAGCGTAGTTACGGGAATTGCACACAGGAGCGGTTTAACCAAAAGCTACAACTTAAATCGTATGTCTTTATGAATTGTAAGTAATACAAATAATAATTACTAGTTTGTACAATTAATGTAATTGCTTTAAGTATGTTCTATGTAAATTGGCAGTTTGGATAATATTGCTAAGATGACTTTGTGAAATTTTGTTCGGAAAGAAAGGGCGACAACTAATATCGAATGAATTTCGGTGTAATATGCGAATATCAACCACAGAAAGCCATATTTAAAAGCCCAGTAGTCAAGCTGCTATCTACGACCCTGTTTGTTCTCCAATGATTATCGTCGACCTTGTTTGTTATCCAAGTTGTATATGAAATATGAAATTGTCCATCCTGTTCGACATCTGTACAATAGTGGTTTGTGTTTTATGTTGGCTGAAGAGGGGCCAATGCCCGAAACGCGTCCAACTGAATAAATAGTCAATAAGTTGCCAAGTGTTGATATATGTCACCTTAGTGTGTCTGCAAAGAAACAAAGAAAAAAATAAACAAATTTTATTGAATTTACACCATATGTTGCTTTGTAGAAAAAATTTCAAATAATTTGTAATTATAATTTCAATAATTTTATTTATAAATTATTAAAGATAAAATTTATTTATTATTAATAATTTTTTTCTCTTTTTTAGTTCATGCAGCAACAAGCAGCGATCATGGCTGCAGCAGCACAAGGGAGTTATTTGAATCCTATGACTGCATTAGCCATTGCCCAGTTACCCCAAATGACTGCTGTCCCAAATGGTTTAGCCAACCCAACCATAACCCCCACTTCAGGTAGGTATTGATATATAAATATGTTATAATAAACACAAAATTTATGAAATTACCATATTGACATGTTACAAAACATGTGTACACTATTCAAACTTCAATCAAATATTAATTATTCATATACATACTACACATAAACATTTTATACTGTCTATATAATATATATATTCACACATAAACATTAACAGAATGATATATATATATACATTAACAGAATGATATATATATATATATTGTTATAATACTTCATATTATAATATAAAGAATAAACAATGTAAAATTTTGGACTTTTTAATTAAATAAAATCTCAAATATAATTTAAAAATTTATTTAGTAAAATTAAATTTAATTTTAATATAAATTAACATTTGTAAACATTACAGACATGATAAATTAAATAAATTTTATTATGTTAAAATTTATTTAATTTACTAGAATTAAAAAGGAGTAATTTTTTCATGAAGTCTAGATTAATAAATTTTAAGCAAATTTTTTGTTAATATTTACAATGAAACAATGTTCAAAAATACTAAATTATCAAAAAACTAAAAGGTTTTGATTGTTTTAAATTGATCTTTTTCAAATTTCAAATAAATAGAGTTAATTTCTATTATAAAAGTAAAAGTTTAGATCTAGTGATTTTTAACCCAACATTGATTTTAAAAATTACTGGATCTAAACTTTTACTTTTGGAATGTTAAAGTGAAGAAATTTCTTCAGTTGCACAGTTTTTAATTAATTTAAGATTTACAAAAAGAAATTTAAATTATTCCATTTACAAAAATAAAAATTTAAGTAAAAATTACAACAAAATGTTGCCAAGATAATTATATACAGTATTACAAATTAAATTTTGAGCCATTCTTCCTATTTATGCCATTTAGAAACAATAAACAGCTACAATAGAAAGGTTTTTATTTCAATTTTTTAATATTTGATTTTATGGATAGTGAAATCTTACTACTGTAATTAGATTTAGTAAGTTCTTGATACGTTTTTATCAAAATTTAATTTTTTTACTTTTATTTATTGTATTTTCTAAATACAACTGTGTATGACAATTCCTTATTAACCATTCATATATGATGTTATTTGCATTCATCTATCATGAAACATCATCATTAACATGAATGAAAATAATTAGTTACACTTATTTTATGGATTTTTATATAAATACACAAATTTAAACTTTTAACTATATAAAAATCTTGTATAAATACAAGTTTAGATAAGTTTTATATCTTTGTAATGATATAAGACTTTTTTTAATTTCCAAAACATAAAAACAAATTAGAAAAAAAATGATTTGTGCAAACTTTGCTCAAGAGCATCAAATTACTTTTTATTATTGAATAAATACTAAATACTAAACTGTAGTTTTTATAAATTTTTATTAAATTACATTTTTTTGTAACAATCAATAAATGTTTTAGTCATTACTAATTATTAACTTGAGGTTATTAATTTATATTATTTCTAGAACAAATTTGTAAATAATAGAAATTAATAATCAGTTTTTATTTTGATTTATATGAAATAAATCAAAATAAAAACTCATTATTAATTAAATTAAAAATTAAAAGTAGTAACAATTTAAAATTCATTATCTTCAAATATTTTATACAGTTTTAAACATTTCAAATATTTCAAAACAGTTTTATACAGTGTTATACAGTCTAACAATACAGTTTTAAACATTTCAAAGTTTCAAATATTTTATACAGTTTAAGTAAAAATTAAAAATAGTCTCAATTAAAAATTCATTATCTTCAAATATTTTATACAGTTTTAAACACTTCAATTATAAAATTTTTTATTCTTTACATTATTTGATTTAGAATTTTCTGTATTTCACTTTCTTTGGAGTGTATGTGATGTCATTTGACATTGTGTATGAATTAGATAATTTAAATAAGATTTGTTATTAAATAATTTATATGAATTCAATAATTAGATTGATTGTAGTGAAAAAATTAGATTGATTGATTGTATGCTTATATGAAATATATATGTTTATATTCCATATATAAACATGTATTATATATGTAAATAGAAAAAGTCCACAAACTTCATAAATTAAAATGGATATAATTTAATAACTTGAAGTAATTGATTAGGATCAAAATATATAATTTAGATTTAATTTTTTGATGTAGATTGAATTTTCTGTATAACCTATATACAACAGATTTTATTTCATTTCTATAAAAATTATCCCAAATTTATTCTGAAAAGTGTTAAACAATAATGGAATAGGTTGTTTAAAATATATTTTTGAAGTTCTTATAAAAGTCATATTTTTTATTTTTACTTTGTCATGTTACTTTGTAATCATTGCTAAAAAGAATTGTTATAAAAGATCTCTTTTCCTGTGTAATTAGGGATTATGTTAGAACCATTTGCTAGAAAATTGTTGTATTTGTAATATTTTATTACTTATTATTTATGAATGATCTTTACAAAACTTAGTGATTAGAATTTGTTATTCAGAATTTTATTCCATAAAAAATTAAAATATTTATCTAGAAATTTAAAATTGTCTTAAAGTCCAAAAAGAATCAAAAATCTACATGTATAAATAACATATGTTTTTTATTCAGAATGAGGATTATATGATAGTGAGTAAATGACTTACAGCTAGTTTTATTACTATTCATTTTATGATTATATTTAAAAATTAATTACTTTTCATCTTACAGTAATTTTTGATTATNTTTGACCTTTAGAATTGCTAATAAAAATGTAGGAACTTTGAGAATTTGATATTCAATATTTTACATATATAATGTATCAGTGATAAATATCTATGTTTCTAACATAAAAATAATTTTTTTAACCACTTCATAATAGGAAATAAGAATCAAATAACTGATGATGATAATATTTTTCAGACAATAAACAAAATTGCTTATAATAATCTATAAATTTCAGTAAAATACATTATTATTGAGTGTAAAATCTGATTAATTATCTGTATTATTTCTCTAAAATATTTTTACCAACAATTTTATTTACTTAAACTTATATTATCTACAAATGGGAAATATAATGTTTAGACTGTTGTATAAAATTTAATTTTGATGTAATGTTAAAATTTCATGAGACATTAACTTATTTTCACTTATTTCAGTAAAGAATGAAAATTTCTGTTTATTGTATTAAAGTTTAATCTATATTTGTACAATGTTAATCATTCAGTTACATTAGATAAAAGATTTTCATAAGTATTAAGAAACTTCTTCACTATAGGCAGCTTTTAATATAATTTGAAAAGATCTTTGTTTATTAAAGCTATAGATTTAAATTTTGTACTTTGTAACACCGTATTATCACGGCATGCCGGTCTATCCGGGAAGACCATGAAATCAGATATTTCCGTATGGTAAAAGCCGGCATGCTTGTTAAATTAAGTGAGGTTATACATCCCTCTCTAGAAGGCGCATTAAAAAAAATGAACGAATTTTTATTCTAAAACTGCGAAACTGTCATCATTAGATCAAAAATTACGATTATAGTGAATTCTCGATTTATCGTTCCCGTATCAATCATTTTCCCGCATCTATCGTTTTTTTTTTTCAGTCCCAAAGCGCTTTTTCACGTAATCTTCTATACCGACATACAACGTCTTAGATTTATTAGTAATGGCGAATGCCCAGTTGTTGTTTACCATATAAGTAATGCATTTTTACACAATATAGAATTTTTCTGATTTGCGCTATCTCCGATATACGTACCAATACATTAGGTTTTCTTACCAGAAGAAAACAGAACAAATTACAGTATTCTTAACAGTTTTTTAAAACGTAGAATAAACACACGTTCGAACGCAAATGCGATATAGTTTTGTATTACAGAAAGCCGTTCATATAAGCGTATCATCGGAAAATACACGTTTCATATGAGATAAACAATAAAACATCGACGGCATAAATTTCTCGTGTCAATCGTTTTCCCGCATCAGTCGTTTTTTCCTCCAAGTCCCGCCAAAAACGATAGATCGAGAATCCACTGTATATGTTTAATTTCCTCATTTTGTCTTCTTTCTAACGACGTAAAATATTTGTAAAATTCCGAAAGTGCTGTTTTTAATGTGTATTTTATTGTTATTTGATTCAAAAACGCAAAAATAAACAAATTAAATTTAAGAAACTCCCCATAAATTATCTCGGCTTACACCGATTAACATCGGATTTGTGTGAATTTTGAGAGGAAGGTGTTATTTTTAAGGCCAGGGTAGATGGTCAGTGTAGCCCACACACTGACTAACTACTACTACTAATGTCAATAAGACGTTAATTGTTTTATTGTCTTGTAAACGAAAACTCTCTTCCTGATTTTCAGTCAGTCAAATTACAATGTTATTATTTTATTGTACTCGGAAAAATGTTTTCTTTAACATTTAATTAACAACTAGTTTTGTTAGATCTGATTAATTTTATATTTTAGTCGCAGTTTATGGTCTCCCCCGTTTTTGTGCGGCATGCGGGTCATCCCGCGAAAACACGGTAACATTTTTCTGCATTTCAGTTTGTATTATAATGCATCTCTTTTTATAGGATTTATCTTAATTTAACCTGCACTGTACAAAATTAATTTTATTAAAATAAAATTAAATGATAATATTTTTAATCAAGTTGCAATAAACAACATAGTAAAAACAGTTCTTTCTAATAATAAAATTAATTCAGATTAATATTTTAAATATTTTTAAATGATAAAAAGAAATGATATATGAATATTATAATTTATATTTTCATTGAAAAAACAGAAAGAAAGAATATTTCTTATGAATATACTATATAATATGAGATTGTATATCATTATATATCTGTAAGTTTTTTTAATATAATGATACATTACAAAAAAATCATTTTAAGAATTTTTACATTTGCTGCATATTCTGTTATTTAATGCAATATTTATATCTATAAAATTTTTTAATCTATAAATATCAATATTTATAAGTGTAAAATAATTTTTTGGGGTTATTTTTTATGGAAAAA